ATAACAGACTACTGTGATTTGTTACGCAATATATAATCTTTTGCAAATGAGAAGGCCAATCGTATTGTTACATTATTTGCACAGATCCAAAAGAGCAGCATGGAGATATGCACAGGATCGTGCAGGTGTAGCATCACGGTGGACCTGGCTACAGGCACAAATATCAGATTTAGAATACAGAATTAGACAGCATAATGATCTGCAACGGCAGATTAGGGCCGCGAAAGGCCTGGTTGTTCTCGAAAATGCGGAAACTGTTAACGGATACAGTGGCGCTCTACCAGGTTCTACTGGACGATACAATTCGCCCGAGGGTGAATTACCAGCTAGTAGAACGCGTCCATTTGTATGGAGTTATTATAGAAAGCGAAAGCTTTTGCAAGTGGATAGGCTACATGAAGTTTCAAAGCGTGCGGCTAAAGCGTCAACAGTGAGATGCAATTGTGATCATGTGTTGCCTGCGTGTGCTTTATGTACAGGAAGGCTAGATCCAATGCAACCACAAGAACCAATTGAACAACTTTCTGTACAAGAACGTGTAGCACTTGTTGATCCTAGTTTTCATCCAGTGTTGTCATTCCCTGATGGTACGTTTATACATATGTGTACTAATTAATACATAGTATAATGTAAAAGTTCCTCTAATGAAATTATAATAATTTAGTAAAGTTTATGCTTAACTAATCTATTTTCCCTATAACTCAATTTTTAAATATCTAAATAAGAAATAAAATATAATTGTTTTTATTGTCAAGTGATAGTGAAAAAGTTTGCAGCTATATCACACACATATATGTTTATTATAGAAATTGTACATGGAACCCATTTAGAAGCTATTATGAAATCAGTGGAATGGCAGCAGAAAATGTTGAGAGGCAATTTGCGAGTTACCCGTGTGAAAGATAAAGATAGCAATGAAAGAAGAAATAAGAAACTTCCTAACAGAACAAAATATACCGCGCGATTAAAGAAATCATCCTCGACTATTCTTACAGCAAGTACATATCACGAAATGTCATGTACATTTAGCTTTTTATTCTTATCTAGTAAAAGAATGAGCTGCTTGATCAAGCTGTTCTTTCTCCGCAATAAAATAATATAAAATAACATATTTCTTCTTATACAGGAATCAAGAGAAAAATGTTGAAAAATGGTAAGAGAAATAGACTCGGCCATTCGGAAAGAAGCGTATCTGGATTAAACAAGAAAAAAATATCAAAATTACCAACTGAGGATGACGACGACATTAGCGCGCTTTCAAGTTCCAGCAAACACTCATCCCCAGTGCCTTCTCCATTGCAACATGTTACTGCCTCTTCGGAGAAAAATACTGTTAAAGAAAAAAGTTCCAATCCACATGGGTAAGAAATATACAGTATTTTTACAATTTGTAACATTTGTACATTTCTATGTTTTCGTTGGCAAAATTGTTATCAACTAATATATATGTATCAAATTATTATCAACTAATATATATGTATCAAATTATTATCAACTAATATATATGTATCACTTTTATTTCGAAAAAAATGTCAAACATTTCATAACAATTGTTATTTCAGGCGTTTGCGACAGAACTCTTACGATATTAACAATATAGTCATCCCCTATAGTGTTGCTGCTTCAACGAGGCCTGAAAAATTACAATACAAAGAGATTTTAACACCAAAGTAAGTATATTTATAATTTATCGAGCTATTGCTCCGATTTTTATCTTAATTATTTTGATTATATACATTATAGTATCATATTAATTAATATATTTCTCGTATTATTAAAGATGGAGATTATGTGAAGAGCCCTCGAAAATGGATGTGAAGAATGGCGTAATGCACAGGCCTGGTCAGGACAGTGATGTAAGTGAATGACAAGATCTAGTAAATGATAAGAACGCAATTCAGCAACAAAATAAAATGATGTAATATTTTCTTTTTCATTGTCGTAATTCAATGATTGTATATGATTTTATCAGATTGAAGATATGTCGGATGAAACAATTGCCCTGAGGCATGAACGTAGCGAACGCGAGGAATATAAACGTTTCATGACATATCTTAGTATGCCGCATCAAACGCGTATTCGTCACAATCGTCGTATCGACAGCAGAGCAGACAGTGGTGCGAACACACCAGGTATGTCGTATTGCGTTTAATCGTGAATTTTAACATTATTAAATGGCAATTATAAACAAGAGATTTACACTATTATTTCAATATAATTCTATATTTTTGTTGAAATAATAGATTTTATTTATCGAACCAATAAAATTATATTCTCTCGTAAAGAAAGTAAGTTGTTTTAGATCCAATGTCACCGCACGCGAGTAGTGACTTTGGTGGAGACGTGGTATCTCCGTTTACGTCTCCACCTGCCACTCCATCTCAAGTGCAGGACACAGAACAGTCGTCGGGTTTGGATTCGCATCGACCGTCTGCTTTACAAAACTCTCTTCGACGTCGTACTATGCCCGCTTTAAGACTGGGGAAGGATGATGCCGCGGTCGTATTTACCGAAGATGAAAATGAGGTAATGCATAATGAACGACACATATATTGCGTATAAATCAAAATTAACACAAATGTAATATTCAAAGCCCAATTTTTTTTCCAGATTTTACCGTATGAACCAAGAATATTCCCATTATCTGAAGAAATTTACGACAAAATGTTGGAAGTGATGCCGGATGGACATTGGCAAGCTTCGTCTACGTCTATATGTTCTCGCGACGAAGATAAGGGTGATGATGTACGTACATTGTACTTGTATTGATATATATCTTCGCATTAAATATCTAAGTCTGAAAAATTTGAATTATATAAAATGTATGTGGGTGCTATATAGTACTGACTATTAATATACACTTTGAGCCAATTTTCATGGCTCCTCTCGAGGCTATTTCCGGTAAGCAGTGCCACTTGACGCTTCCTATACTTTTGTAACGTAATTCTCTAATTTTATTTTTCACTTATTTCTCACATACAGACACAACATATACACACAAAATTAGCAAATTTTTACACAACAAAGATATCGCGTTAAGTCAACGTTATCGTTATATAGTTTCCATCCATTTATAGAATTTTTTACACGATTTTCTAGTTTGCTCCTTGTTTCGCGCAGCTGCCGTATGAGAGCTTGCAACTTTAAATAGTTTTTTGCAAAGCGATCAATTGTGGATGTAGGTGATTCCAGTAATCGTCGCTTGTGTAATTATTCATATTTCTACGTTTCTAGGACAGAGAAATGGATTCTCCCGAATCGGATTCGACCGAATCTGCTTGTTGCGACATAGATGGTGAGGATCCCAATGATCCCGAGTGGACAGTAGGTGACGATAGAGACACTGAAAAGGAGAGAATACGTCCGACGGCTAAGAGATAGGATATAAAACTCTTAATAAGTACAGTATGTCTACGTCGTCGTTACTATATGCAGAAGCTACCTGTCAATTGTTATATATACCTGTCGGTCATGTAACATTGCACCTTAAGTTAATGGTATTACGAATCTGTAAAGTGTATTATAAATATAAATTTTATAACTTCATTCTGCTTAAATTAATGGAAAGAACCTTAATTAATTATATTATTGCTCTTTTTTTAAGTATTGCTATTTTGGCCAAAGCATTAGAACTGTACACGCGTCATAGTACATTTAGGATGTATACTTGCATCACTGATCTTTTCCCCTTCTGTTAAATACACATAGTAGGTAATATTAGTTCTCTGAAAGAAGTGGAATCTCATGACAGTGGTTGAGCGGTTTTGTATAAAACTGTATGTTGCAATCACAGCTCTTCACTTTAAATAAAAGTGCCAATTGAAATGTTCTGTAGCACTGTGTACCTTCCAATATCGCGTGCTTTTTCTATTTTGTAAGAATGAATACACTAATTTGTGTGACATTCTACGAGAAATGTTAATATACAGATGCTCTTAAATGTATATAAATTACCATTTTATCATTATGTGAAAACTTGTATTTAAATCCTTGTATATTTTGTCCATCATTACATGACTTGCACCTAGTTTCGCAAATATCGTAATTTATATAACAGTCAAAATCAGTTTGAATATGAATTTTCTTTATTTTTTTAGTATTAAGAATCCGTTTTATTTCTCATATATGACCAAGTTGTGTCTTAAGATATTACTGGTACATCTTATAGGTACAGGTAAGAGGGGACAATGCTATGAAATGAAAATTAGATGCAAATAAAAAAGGAGTTGTATAAATTTATGTATCATACACAAAATATTCTTGACATAGTGTGTGAGAATTTAAAGTATATAGAATAAATATACGCTAATATTAAAAATGTATTATCAATTAATTACCGATGCTCTGTATTTTGACTGTTATGTTCTTATCATTGGTATAATTTATGAAATATAAACTCACTTGTTAATTTAAGTTCATATTGAAAGTCTTGTGTCACTGTGATTTCGCGATTTTCTAATAGTCTGTGATACTACATGTATTTTCTTTCGTATTAAAAGTTTTATAACCAGGCAAATGTCTACGAATTCTTAAAAATCGCATGTGTTTCAATTTTGTATATCACTTTTACAAGATGCAAATAAAAATAGGTGACAACAGAGATTGTTGTTTATTCATTATGCAAATTGTTATATATATATATATATATATATATATATATATATATATACACACACACACACAACATACATACATACACACATATATATACATACATACACCTATATATATATATACCTATATATATATGTATATATATACATACACACATATATACATATACATATATATATATATACATATATATATATTTATACTTATATGCACACATATTCTTATGATTGTAATTTTTTTATGATAATGATAAAACAATTATGAATCAAAATATTTGATAATTTGTGTATGAATGATTGTATGAAAATTTTTTGCTGTACAACATAATATTGTATTAAAATATAAAAATATTTTTATTTTGTTTTAAAAGTATAATGAGAGTATAAAAATATGTTTTGATAATGATCTGATAGAAAATGTCACATATTATATTAATTATTTTTATCTTAGTCGTATTCAAACAAATTACAAATTTAGGGTGTACTTGTACCAAAATAAATTACTTCAGTATCCAAAGTTTCTATGTCCACCATAACTGCAAGATTTGTAGAGGAAAACTTTGGAATACAAATTAGTCTCACCACCTGATTTTCTTCACCTACAAATACAGTTGAATGTACTTTCTTTAGTTCTTTAGCAAAATGTAAGAAGATATTAACAGTATCAAAATATCTATGCAATATTGTAGCATCAAAAGTGAGAAATAAATCTGATGCATTTTACACAAATGCGTTTAATAATACTAATGTAATAATAATGCTTAATCAGTAAAACATAAACAATTTTATCAAATTTTGCTTTATAATATTTACCTCTCCACAGTTTTGTTTCAAATTTATCTGTGTTGCCCACAAAGTATATATCTGGACAATAATTTATGATAAATGGATCTTTTACAGAGTAAGGATGTACTGGTAATGTGTCTGGAGCTGTCGGACACATATGCCTCCAAAACAGAGTTCTTTCCAACCAATCTAAGGGAGAGATATCTGTTGCACCAGTCGCTTTTATGATATCATCAATCGGCTGACCACTGCTACCCATTATTACACGTTCAGCGATTTTGCCGATCCACGGATTAGTTGCACCTTTAAAACTTTCAAATCTAGAAAACACGACACTATTTTAATCAGAATTATATTTACGCATAGATTAAATTTCGACTATGGTTCAAAATAAAAGCTCTTTTATGAATCAGTAAAATTTGATATAGGAAATTAAATCTATTTTTTATCAAAAAATAATAAAAAATGTATATTTGTTTCCTATCGCGCTTATCCTTGTTTAATCGCGCTCTGTTATTATTATTTTAATTTTGTTTATTTTCTAACGACTTATTGAACATTGAACAGGATCTTGAAAAGATCGAAACGTATGTATGTATTTTTATATATAACTGATTATTAATATACTATGTCTCTCACTTAGAGTCTTTTATTATTACTTCTATTTTTATGCTTTAACATCTTGCGTTACAGTCTTTTTAGCCTTTCTTTTTTGCGTTTTATTATCATCCGGACCGTATATTGCTTTTGTCATTGTATTCTATTTTTTATATATCAATCCAATCTTGTCAATTTTTTAAAGCCTTATTATTGTTATATATTACTTAAATTTGATTTGGTCATTCAAATTGAATTTAAAAGAATTGAATAAAAGAGTGAAATTTAAATATATTAAGAATGCATGTGTGTTATTAAATATAAGTTCATAAAAGTGATTTTTAAATCATTTTTGCTACACAATAGAAAATAAATTCATTTTCACACACACACACAAGTAGTTTTAAAAATATAATCTTATTTCCTATTCATTGACGTCACATATAATTTACACAATGATAGATATATTTGCACAATACCTAGATGTTAGTGGTAGTATACATGGATGCAGTGGTTTTTGAGGCAGCATTGCATTTACAGGATCATGTTGACCTGGCATTAAAGTGATACAACAACATGTTGCTATTTCAGCAAGAAATACGTCTAAGAGTGTTGTTGCTACAGCAACTTCGTTTGCTATCGCGGCATCTTGTGCCTTCCCTTCAGCATGTCCCATTAAAGTATTTGTTTTTGTAACAGTTTTGACAGAATTACCTGATATTTAATAAGTAAAATGTAAAATTAAAATCGGTTACACAATTAAAGGCATAAGAATATACCAGGGTATATACCAGCAATAATAATTTGAACAATACAAGTAGCATTTTCTTGAACAATTGCATTTCCTGCCATGCCACATATCCATTCAGTTAAAAGACCTAATGACAAACTCTTTGAATTGTTTGCCAAATCGAGCCCAGATAGAAATAATAGTTTTCCTTTGGACTTTAATTGTGTCAGTGAACTTTTAGGCACACAACCAGGAAAGCACCATTCCTTGACCTGAATAAGATATAAAAGGATAATTTTGCATGTATTACAAATACAAAAAAAAAATTAAGATTTTAAAAATTTACACTTACCACAAAATTGCCATCTTTTTCTTTGTGGCCTAATATGGCACATACAATACCTGTAACATAATTTTTCATCTCTGCATCTTCAATTAGTAATCTGATACGTAACATTTCATCTTCCAAGAAAAGTTGATCCTTTTCTGAGCAATAATTTGATCTTAGTTCTGGTAATGTGAGTTGATAATCTTCGCTTAACTCATGTAATATCGATGGCTTCCACTTTTGATGTTTATAGAGCGTACCAACTATTACACACTGTTGTCCTTCAAAATCTTCTAATTCTGCCAACTTTAGTATCTTTACTTTTCCTAAGAACAAAATAAATATCTTTTTTATTTATTTAAGTCACAGTGACAAGATATTTGTGTACAAAAATTTTATTACATATTATTCCTATAGAAAGATAGAATATTTTTGCATAAAACACTGTTATACAAAGCTTACCCCATTTTGCAATAATTCTTGGTATCAGTATTGCTTTCAATTCTGCCAGTCTTACAGAATATATATGACAAAATTGTTTAGAGAAATCGATTAATTTATCATTAAAATCAACAGTCAAGTCTTCATATTGTACTTGCTGTCTTTCAAATTCTTCGGCTGCTTCTTCCTTTGGACTTGAAAGTAGATTTTCCCCAGTTTCCTTGGAAATTGGTGCCATTATTAATAATAATCTGTAAAATAAAAAGTATAGCACAACAAGAATATTTAATTATTTAATAAGCATGCATTTCTGAACAGTTATTAATTTAGTATAATAGTATAAAATAGTATTTAGTATAAAAATAGATGTTTTAATACAATAATGTACCCTCAATAAATTTACATTATTGTGTATTTATACATATATCTAATATATTAAAGATATTTTATAAAAGAAAGATAAAGATTTAAAAGATAAAATTGATCAATATATATTATTGTTTCTAGTACTCTATTAACATGGATATACAAATAGTATTTAAAAACTATATCAAATTTTATTTATACCGATTACATTAGATTATCATACAATAATTTTATATTCTTTACAATTTATTTTGCAACATTAATTATTTAGTTGTAAAGATGTATCACATTTTCATTCTAACCTTCTGCCTTTATTTTTTCTTCCTCTTCGGCTTTTTTGACCAACGCTGTTTTGATTAGAATCTAAACATTCCGACTATCAATTAATATTTAATAATTATTGGCATTACATATTTTATACTACACATGTAGCTAAAAATTGGTTAAAGAGAACATATAGAATGCATAAATAGAAGGCGAAAATATACACATGAAAAAAAGATGCAACATAAAAAGCAAGCAACAATTCTTATTTAAAGCCTTATTTTCTCTATTTTCGTTATATTAGAGAGATGTTAAAAATCTTTACTTTCTATTATTTCCACAATACTGAAATCTGTGATTTATAATATTTTTCTTCGGTATTTATCTAATTTTTATTACCGATCTCATACAACGTTTATCACCATATCAGGATTCTCTCTTTTCGCGCCTTTTTATTCTCACAAATTGGTAACTCGATAAAATGCGGCGTTCCATTGGACGTTACGAAAGTTTCGAAGCAGTTGGTTAATCATTAAAGAGCAAAAAAATCTACAGCCTTTCTCGTCTCGAATACAGGGTCGGATTTAGGGTGAGGGGATCAGGGGCTGAGCCAGGAGATCTTCACAACACAAATTTTTGGATAAAATTTCCTATCGAATACAACACTTACAAGGCTCTATGTATATTGTAGAACTTGTTATTTCGCAATAAATTATTTAAGGATGTATTGGACGGACCGTCTCAAAAGTTAATCCAAAGTATCAAAAAATTAAAGTTGGGCAGAATACGAATTCTAATTGATCAAAAATTTTTTAAAAATCACGAAATCATACTTCAAAGTATTCTTTAATATAAATAGGTTTTAATTTCCAAGAAAATGTTGCCACGTTTTATCATCAATATTGCGTCGAATCGATAATCACAGTTATTTTTTAATAATAATTTCAAAACGAGCAAATAAATTGTTTTAAAACTTTGTGGGAATATTTTTACATGTATGAAGAATATAATATTACAAAATGAAATTTGTATCATTGTCTTTTTATAGTTTGTGAATAATTTATTACCTGTCTCTTGAACGTTTACATAAGATCCTATGTTAAAATCGCAAAATTCAAAAATTAATAACTTTTAAAGGAGCAAGTAAAAAAATTTGAAATAATTCATGACGATTTAGAATGTTATTAAGAATGTTAAATTAAAAATTCACGGCAATCTCATTGATTGTAATATATATATATATATATATATATATATATATATATATTTCCAATACATCCTTAAACAACGTAAAAATTTCTATTTGATTTTGATTCAAAAATAGTTAGGGATCTCCAGCTCTTCGTTGCCCCAGGGCCTCCACATCTTTAAATCCGGCTCTGCTCGAATAAATCGCTCCAAGTCGGGATGCGGTCGGTTTGACGTTTCGGAGTCGCTCCGAGCGCCTCTAGTTACCAAGAATGCCACGGCGGCGCGTCGAGTGGGGATTCGTGTAATCGCGCAGTTGGCAGCAATATGTTTACAGCTTGCATCGCGTAAAATAGTAATAATTTGTTTGCGGCGCGTTTTTTCGTGAGAAACGAGAGCGGCCGTGGAAAGAGCGCGATAGCAGTGATATCGGTAAATGGGCGTGTGAGCTGGACGAGCTATAACGCAGCTGTCCCCGATTCTTTCCGTGTAATCCATCGGAATGGACGCGAGCAGCGAACAGCCGGCCGCGATCGCGGCCGAGCCCGTCGTCTCTAGCAACGAACAGGAGCACAATGACGAAGCCATGGAGGAGACGGAGGAATACAGTTACGAGGGGGACGATTACAGGCATTTTATGCCGCGTGGCCGTGGCGGTTTTCGGTGCGTATGACAGGCTGGCGCATGATTGCGCGGTTGCCGGTTGATTTTCGCGATCACCAGCTCGCGGCACCGCTGAGATTGATGTGCTCTCTTCACCACCCCCCTTTCCCTTCCGTCCGCCCTGCCGCCATCGCTCCACCCCTCTGGTCGCATCACGCGCTCCCTCCGCGTCTCTCCCCCCTGATGTTTTCCCACCGTAATGTTTCTGCTCGATTTAGGACCGATCGCAGCATCTGTTTATTAATATCGTATTCTTTCTCACGAGATCTTGATAAGCAGCATGTCGGGCTTTTATTTTTACTCCAATTTGCGTGGAACGCAATTCCGTATCGTGGAGTTTTTTTTGTGTGAAATTCATGTCATGATTTATTTACAAGAGATATTTTTACAGCGTCTTGTAGAAACATTATGGGGAATGTAGTTGTACTCGAAGTGAGCAGATCAGATTCGTATATTGTTGAATGAAGCTTTTTCGAGAAAGATTCGGAATATACGAGAGATACGTCTGATCTCCCTTCCTCTCTGTGGCATGATATAATGATAAGATATCCTAGTCAAAACATATAAAAATAATTTAAGGGGTCGTGGCAGAGGTGGGTTTGATTTCCCTATGAGGGGCGGTGGGCCTCCAAGGTTTCGAGGAAGAGGATTTGGACCACGTGGACCTATGTTTCGTGGCGCAAATAATGGATTTCCATTTGAGGGCCCACCCAGGCCAAATTGTCCCCCTGCTGGGCCAAGGTTTCGAGGACCGCCGCCATTTGACCCTAGTTGGGGACCTATGGGCCCGCCAAATCTCATGGGACCTCCTAACATGATGGGACCTCCAGGAATGGTAATGCATCACTCGATAATTATAAGTTGAATTGTTATTTAAATCAAACTTATAAGTTATATAAATATAATGGGGATTTTTAAAAATAATTATTTTGATTTAGCCACCGCCACATATGATGAATGGGCCTATTGGTACAGGACCGGGTCCATATGGGCCACCTCCTGGAATGGGACCACCTAACATGAATAGCGTATGTACAAAAATAGCTTTAAAAATATTTATATATTTATAATACATACATTTAATCTTATTTTTATCTGTATTCACTTGTACCTCACTTGTATTAAAGTATTGATGTTTTTTCTAATGTATTTTAATTTGTATAGTATACATTTTTATGTAAATTTATTTATTTATTATTGCAACTTATTTTCTTAAAAAGTAGAGTTATTATCTTATAGCACAATTTATATAATATGTCACAAATTAGATAAATAAAGTAAATCTTAAAATACATATGTGTGCACATGCACATGCATGATAAATCTACATAAAAATTTATATATACACACTTTTGCAAAAATAGAGTTAAATAATAAAAAAATAGATATTTCAAATCAAAATATTCAACACAAAGTTTAAGAATATGTTTTTAAATAATATATATTGTAGATTCCAGGACAGCAACAGCCACCTCAACAACAATCACAGCAGCAAGCAAACATTCCAGGTCTAGATCTCAATGGGGAAGTATGGGTAGAGACAAAAGCTGCTGATGGCAAGTCATATTACTACAATATTCGTACAAGAGATACTACATGGACTAAACCAGAGGGACCAAATGTAAAGGTCATGGTGCAGGATCAGGTAAGTACATATTTATAAGAACTTCTTTTATTAAAGAAGTTGATAGTTATCGATAACAAAGATGCAACAGTAAGCTTAATTATGTCAAAAGTCAAATATTTAAAAATATGTATATGAATATATGTATGAGGAAAAATATTATCCTATTAAATTGTAACTAATATTTTTGTGTTAAATTTTCTCTGCTATTATAAGAATCATAATAAATGTGTGAATATTAGAAAATAAAATTTTATTTTGTTCTTATATGAAATTTAATATTGTAAATTTAATTTAATTAAACAAAAAAAAATTATATTTCATGGTTTTATAGTTAGAGCAGTTAGTACATGGTGCATCGAAACAAGCGACAACACGATCCACTACACCTACTTCGTCAAGTAGTACACCGACTCAAATTAGTGAAAATAGAATTTCTCAAAGCGAACAATCTTCTAGTAATGCAGATGCTATCAATCAGTTAAGTACAGCACCTCCTGGTACTGGGCCACCTCCAACATTGAATGATACATCAGATGTCAATAATCAAACATCTGATACAAATCAATCTAATGGTAATTAATGAGTTTTGGAGAAGATAAACTTTTACTTAATTTTTAAAACATTCTTGATGCTTTATATTTATTTTAGCAATAAAATCTTTTAAATTTAAGTCTGAGAAATACATAAAAATATTTTTGTTAAAAAAAAATTAAAGTCATCGATTAAAATATCAGGTACAGCACCTACAACAGTTACTAACACGCCACCAATAAATACGCCGACTGTAACTACAAACATGATGCAACCGCCGCCAAATATGATACCTATGCAACATAGAATGCCAAATCAGTTTGGTGGTCCGATTGCTACGCAGTTTGGAGCGGCGCCGTTCGGAATGCCACCGCCAGGTTTCCAACCCTTTGGTGGTTATGGGCCACCACAAGCGAATTGGGGTAATAGTCACAAAATAATATATTTAACAAGTATTACATAAAGGAAAAATATTTAAAGATTGTAGTTTAAAATAATGCATCTTTTAAAATAATGCATACTTGCATCTTTCAGGTATGCCACAAATGCCTCATGGTGTAATGGCGCCTCAAGTAGCTGCTGAAGATCCTGCTATACTTGCGCAACTCGATGCTGAATTAGTGGCAACTGCTATGGTTTGGACTGAGCATCGTGCACCAGATGGTAGATTGTACTATTACAATAGTAAAGCAGGAGAGTCAGTATGGGAAAAACCACAACCATTGAAAGATTTGGAAAGTATGTGTAATTTCAATCATCTGTATATTCTGTATATATTTACAGATCTGCATATATTCATAGAGTATATTTTTAATACTGTAATTAGTAAATATGTATATTTATAACTGAATTATTACAATTAATAAGGATTTATAATGTCTGAGCACCTTTTGCATAAAAAATCCTTATAATATAATCTGACATAATTTTGTAACACAAATCTTAAATTTTGATATATTATTAAAATGTTTCATTAGATGCAAAATTGGCATTACGGCAGAAGAATGAGGAAGCAAATGCTATTCCTACGAGTACTGTCGTTGCAACCACTACCGTTACCAATAACAACGCCACGGCTGAACCTAACAAACAAGAGAAGCCACAAGAAAACACTCATGAAACCAAAGATAACACAAAAGACGCGGATAACGCTAAGCCTAAGAAGGAAGAAAGCACCGCAAAGGAACCTGCAAAACCTCAAGACAAGTCTAGACCTATTTCTAGTACACCAGTGCCTGGAACTCCATGGTATGTCTAACTATATTTCATATATATGTATAATATATATTTATATGAAATAAAAAAACATCTATATATTGTATGTGAAGGTGCGTCGTTTGGACGGGAGATGCACGGGTATTTTTCTACAATCCTTCTTCACGGATATCTGTCTGGGAAAGACCGGATGATCTTATTGGTCGTCAAGATGTCGACAAGATGATATCAACTCCACCAGATGCAATCGGTGCTGCGAAACCAACACGCCAATCAGATACTAGTGAGAGCAGTGACGACGAACAACCTACACCAGCAAAAAAAATAAAGCACGACGATAGCAAAAGTATAATTCTTGCTCTAAAATAAGTATAATGCATAATTACATTGATTTTTAATATAAATTTTGTATTATTTTAGGCACACCTATAAAAGAAGAGGAAGAAAAGGAAGAGAAGAAAACCATTGACATCGGTAAGGAAGCTGCGATAGAGGCCGAGGTGAGAGCAGCAAGGGAGAGAGCGATAGTTCCGTTGGAAACCAGAATTAAATCGTTCAGAGATATGCTTGCAGAGAAAGATGTAAATTATAATATATCTTTATTCCTATTATGATACAGGATATTGGAATTTATTTGCATATTTTGGCCAGATTTTGTAATTTATACCCATTGCTTTTTTCGCACTGTTCGTGCATTAGTAACGAGTCTTTAAAAGTCGTGATAAAAAAATCTATATTTTAGCCTCAGAAGCGTCTGTATATAATAAGATAAATGTAATAAGATAATACTTTTCTAATATTCCCAGAATTTTCAAAGTTAAAACTTTTTCTTCGATATTTTATATTTTATTAATAATATAATTTTTCTTTTATTAATTATGTACATATGTGTTCTATAATAATTCAGATATTTGTGATATTTTATTCCAAGTTTTATCAACTCATTCCAAGTTTTTCCAACTCGTACTTATTTGCGTAACTTCTGCGATATTATTAAAAAAATATTATTAAATTTGCGTCTGATTACATATAGATACTCCTAGAAATGTCGCGCATCCTTACGTGTATCCGATGACTTATTGCTAATACGCGTGAGAAAAGTATGAATCACAAAATCTGGCTAAAATGTGCAAGTAAATCCTAGCTCTGTTGTAACACATTATACTGTATCTTTAGGTATCTGCGTTCAGTACTTGGGAAAAAGAACTTCATAAAATAGTGTTCGATCCACGTTACTTACTTCTAACATCAAAGGAAAGGAAACAAGTTTTTGAAAAATATGTGAAGGAGAGAGCGGAAGAAGAAAGGCGAGAGAAGAGGAATAAGATGAAAGAACGGAAAGATCAATTTCAGAAGCTTCTAGAAGAGGCTGGACTTCACGGAAAGTATGTATACATGGAAAACGTATTTTTTAAAATTCTGTTTATCTTATTAATTTTTCTGATGTTATTTTATAGATCGTCGTTTAGTGATTTTGCTCAAAAACACGGAAGAGATGAACGATTTAAGAATGTAGAAAAGATGCGTGAACGAGAAAGCCTTTTCAACGAATATCTCCTGGAAGTACGAAAGAAGGAGAAAGAGGAAAAAACAGCCAAACGAGAACAGGTATTTTCATTTTATTAACATTATTAAATGAGCGCATTGTGGCAATGCAAAAGATTTTCAGGGCATTATAATTAACTTATTAAACTTTTAACATTTAATATGATAAGTAAAATAAACATTCTAGCAACATCCCTTTCTAAGATTCCGTTAAAAATATGTATATATTAACAAATATGGAGAAAAGATTTAGGTACATTTTATAATCTTTTATAAATAGTAATAAATAATTTTGTATTATAATAATATTTAAAAAAGATATCTTATAATTATGTTTCAAATAATTTTAACGATATGTATTTAATTCAGCAAACTTTTATCCATTAAAATTTTTATAATTTTGTAATAAAAATTAAATTTCACATGATATTACACATACCAATTTTCACACATATTGCTTATATGAGTTTAAAGTCTGTTAAGAATTATTTTTTTGCCCTGCTCCAATATAAATTATATAATTAAAGTTATATTTTCTTAAAAATGAGTTATAATTTTATATGAACATATATTTTTACTAAAGTGTACCTAAATTCTTTATTTTAAGAAAAGAGCATCATTATACAAACCATATTTCCTAGTTTTAAATCCTGTCCAATAAACTTTTCCTTCCATTCCAGGCCGATGTCATATATTTATAATAAATTGCTCCATAATTGCTTTACGACGAATACTTGAAGCAGTGTGTAAATGTAGTATATACTACATTTGCGCTAAGTTGCGCATGGGCTAAATATATATTTATTCAGTATCTGCTTCTATGTTTAAAAATAATTACATTATTTTGATTAATTAAATCCAAGAATTTTATCTCCCCTTATCAAGCGAAGTTTTATAATGCGCGATGATATAAAAATCAAATTAAGAATAGATAGAAAGCGTTTTTAACTTTAGATAGAAGAGGATATATTTGATAATATTTAATAAAGTTTATGTTTACAGCGATAATTGATTAATTTCTTTCAGGTTTCATAGGTATGTTATTATTTTGTTCCACTTGTAAGATAATACGAATACCTAAAATTATAATGGCTGAAGAACACATATACCAGGAGATATATATATTTCTCTAATAAGAATTGTCTAATCCAGTAGATTTGCTCGATAGAAATCGAAAAGTTTTGTAGCTCTAAGATGGGAATTGTAGAGAATAAAATCTTAGTATGTCACGGTTCCTTTATATACTTATGTGTTCTGAACTCTCCACTTCAGTCAGGAGGCAGGCAGGACAGGTTCCGTATGTGGAGTGGCTTGGTTCTGAAGCTGGTTGGTGGCATGGATGATGTCATCTACCATTCCCACCTACACTGCGGGTCACTGTTGGCACACCCTCGCGCGCCGCATTCTTTACTCCAAAGCAGAGTCATGACAATGAACGAACTCGGTATTTGTATATTACTCGTAATCCTCGTTTCTTCAAAAAATTAACTTTTCCCCAGAGTCAAAATCAATTTGAGAATTTTCACGTAAATTCATCATTTAATATGGAAGATGAAAAAAAAGGCAAATGCCCGAGGTAGCATTAGTATCTCCACAAAGAACAATTTCTCAGAGTTCAGTTACTTCGATTTGGAAAAAGTCGATTCTCTAATGCTACCACAGAATTTATATTAAATGTATGGACATAAAAACAAATTTATTAATGCAAGAAATTATGTATGTATATATAATTTGCTATTTTATTTTTCAATAATAGTTGTATAGATTGTATAGCATTACTTCTTTCTTTTATTAATATTGTTAAGTAAAAAATTATTTTTTGTATGATGATTAGATTAAATGTAGATGATTAGATTAAATATACATTCATAAAATTTTTTCTATTGTTTTTATGTCAATACATAATATAATAAATTTTATTTACAAAAATATTTTTAAACTTTTATAGACATTTTTGAAATTTTACATATAACTTTCAAAACAAAAATATATATATATATATATTTATATGTATATTACTAAGCCAATTTTAAGATTCTCTCAAAGATTCTTATCAATAATATAAAAAGAAATTATAATTTTATTAAGAGATATATTTTAGAGGATTGCAATAAGTTATAATACAAAATTTTAATATGTAACAATATAAATTAGATTTGGCATCGTTAAAATGAATGCGTTTCTATAAAAATTTGGCTTATAGTCTTGAGGATTTTGACTTGAATATTCACTATTATTGTTCTAAAAGTAATGCAAGGATTTTTACAATAATTTCACTCGGATAAAAAAAGCAAATTTAAACAATTGGCACAAATTTTTTAGTATCTTAAAATTTTTCATAGGATCAGGATCCAAGTAGTGAATATTATGGCAATCTGAAGACGAAGACGTGCCATCGTCTGAATTATCATTAATTTTTTGATTACTATTTATTAAATAATATTATCTAAACATTTCTTTTTAATGCAATAAAAGATTATAGCTATTGCACAAAATATTTCGTTTTAGTCGTTTACAAATTACGCAATGGGAATCGGAAGAAAAGTTATAGAATAATTCTTGGGTTTACGTTGCATAGATTAGACAGTTCAAAACTCTGTCTATTGTATTTAATTTTGCTATTTTATTATAATTTAGAAGTATCGAGGTTTAGGAGAAGGAAGTGTATTTTATTTTGATAATGTAACGTCTTTTTTTTTATATAAAATAGTTTAATAAAAGAATCTCTAGTTACTTTTATAAAAAAAAATATATACGTTTTAAGAAAAAAATAGCATTACAATTTTTGTAAACGATGCGATGTATTATATAAAATACGCGAGACACTGTTTAAATAAAATTATGGATTCTTCGGAAGATATTTTGGAGTCTAGCAATAATAGGAGCAAAAAATAAATTAGATGGAAACTCGTTTCGTAATTTGGACGGCTGCGAGCTTCTAATGTTTTTGGAGTTAATACAATAATAATCATAATGTACTAACCACATTTTTTCGTTTCAGCAAGGACGGCAGTCAAATATGTACTTATCTTACACTTCTAGTCATCATTAAATGCGAATACATCATGTAGATATAATGAACATGGTTTTTCTGAAAAATTAAAATTTAAATCAATTGAGTCATTTTTTGAATTATATAATGTGTACATAGGATTAATACTATATATATTTAATGATGACTGGTTACATAATACATGATAATCATTTTTACAGGAATAATAAGTCCATAATTTTTTTCAGCCACAATGAACCAGTTTAGTACATTAAAATAAAAAAAAATCCGACAAAAAATAGAGCCCTTAACGTTGTGATACTTCCTGATAGAAATGAACATGAATGACTATTTCTTCTCTACCCCTAATGAAATATAGTTTGAAAATCAATTAAAAAAAGGTTTGCAAGTTGAAATAGTTTGATCCACATTACAAGTCATTATATTATAAATGTTTATAAAAGTGATTGTAATGTGGTTGAGCGTGTAATAATTGATTGGAAATACTATTAAAGCGTGCATGATATAAGAGAGCCAAGAAAATCTGATCTTAAAACCAAAAGAATTGTATAATAGTACATAAGCAAACAGTAATTATTTTTCAGCGATGAAAACTCTTATGTTAAATGCGTTTCAGGTGAAAAAGGAATTCTTTGCAATGCTACGTGAACACAAAGACATCGACAGGCATTCGCATTGGAGCGATTGTAAGAAAAAATTGGAATCGGATTGGAGATACAGAGTCGTAGAGTCGGCGACTACGCGGGAAGATTGGTTTAGAGATTATGTTCGCATACTGAAGGATGAGCGGAAAAAGGAGAAGGAGAAAGACAAAGACCATCGACACAGAGAAAAAGATCACAAGATGGAGAAGAAGGATAGAGATCGTAAAGATTCAGACAGAGTTAAAGAGGCGAAATCTAATAAGGACAGAACAGATAAAGATAATACGAAGGAAAAGAAGCAACGGAAGAGTGAAGTTCCTGCGGAGGAAAATGGAAAGGAGAAGAAGGAGATGGTGATAGAGAAAGAAAGCGGGGAAATCGAAGAAAGTGATGACAAAAGTGTAAAAAAAGAAAATGATGTAAGAATAATTAACAATAACAATATTGCCTTTTCTTTTACACTATTTATTTTTTTATATTTTCAGCACTTTTGCAGTTTTTTCATTTTTTTATAAAATAAATTTTGTGTTATTGTTCAGAAGGAAGATGGAGATGATCATTCCGATTCAGAGGAAGATCGGGAGAAACAAAAAAGAGAACGTGAAAGACGAGCAGAAGCTAGTCTTCGAGAGAGAGAAAGAGAAGTACAAAGAACTCTTGCTACGCATCTTCGCGATAGGGATAAAGAAAGACAGCATCATCGTCACACAGAGGCGGTTCAACACTTTAGTGCTCTTCTCGCTGATTTGGTATTATTTTCAGTTGCATAATATTTTTGATACGAATTATCGATACTTTTGATCATAATATTTTGAATATTTATCTGAATTAGGTGAGAAACGGTGATCTGGCATGGAGAGAAGCAAAACGACAACTTAGAAAGGATCATAGGTGGGAGCTTGCTGAAAGTTTAGATCGCGAGGAAAAAGAACGACTGTTTAATGAACACATCGAGCAATTAGGTCGCAAAAAACGCGACAAATTTCGGGAGTTGCTTGATGAAGTAGGCGCATCGACTGAATTAACAGCATCCTGGAAGGATATTAAAAAATTGTTGAAGGATGATCCTAGATACTTGAAATTTTCTTCCAGTGATCGGGTACGTAATAATCGTCAATATAACTGTAAAAAGTAAATATTGATTTAAAATTTTCATTATTACTTATCATCAATTCATTATTATATTTCGTATGTACATACATTTTTTGCTTTTCAGAAATGCGAGAAGGAGTTTAAAGAATATATTAAGGACAAACTTGTTGCTGCCAAAGCCGATTTTAGAGAGCTTTTACAGGTGAGTTTATATATATATTTTTTTTTCAATATAGTTTTTGCTAAAAAAATATGATTTTCAGGAAACAAAACTAATTACTGATAAAACGTACAAAAAAGTTCAAGAAAATAGTTCGCACCTACCAGAAATCGAGGAAATTCTCAGAAAGGATCGAAGATTTCTTGTACTTGAAGCTGCCTCCAATGAACGGAGTCGTTTATTAATGGGTTATCTAGAAGAGTTAGCACGCAGAGGTCCTCCACCACCTCCTACTGCTTCAGAACCATCAAGAAGACCAACTACAAAGTAAATATTAATGTATAAGAAGAAAGAGATATTGTAAATTTTTACATTTTGTCTTCTTGATAGATAAAATGTAAATGTCTTCCAGACCATATATTTAACATATATATTTGCCTTTCTTTCAGTTGAAGAATGGTCTACATCGAAGTATGATGTTACAGTAACACAAGCATGAATGAATTTATAGGTATAGTTAAATTGAACTACTTTACACAAGATTTTATTGCCTGTATAGGATTCAATAAAATTAATGAATGCCAATTCTATATAATTAAAACTGTATTACATTGTGAGATACTAATGTAAGCACATATATATTATTGTTGAACAATATTAAATAAGACTTCACTGAAAATGAATGTCGGTGATACTATGTAACATAATTATCTTGCATAACAATGCAGTGAATGGATTCTCTATATACTTATCTAAGATTTTATGTTTAATAATATAAGTTCAAGCTACAAAAAAATTGAAACATGAAGAACATTGGATAAAAAAAACGCACTGATTTTCTAATAATAAAAATGATAGTTATTGTAAAATTATTAAAAAATATTACTATTTTATCATTAAACAAATTATGGTCATTCCAACAATCCTTTGTGATTTTCTCGATTATCCTTCAATTTTCAAATTGTTATAATCTTTAATATAAGATGTTCCTTAATATACTTTTTTGTTATGGTAAAGATAAAGTATTAATAAAATAAATTTTAAGTCTGCAATTCAACAACTAAAGGAGGAAGAGAATCAGTGAGTCAAATTTATTCTGTTCTTTTATAAAATCATGTAATCAGTCGATAATAAGGGTTTTATTTCAATGTATCCTAAAAATTTGTATTATATTGTTTTTTGTTAAATAATTTTTTTATTGATTGCTAATATAACATTTTTAAGAAAATTTACTAATATTTATAATTTATTGTAGGAAATAACGTACACTTTGATCATGGGATGATAATGATTTCGTTCACTTTAGTTCTTGCAATGTGTCCTAGATGTAGAGACTGAATGATCATATATATTATCATTCTTTTGATATATATAGCTTCGACGATCGCATAATAAATCTCAGTGATTTCAATGCTGGATTGAATATTAAATTCTAATATCGAAGAATTCAATGCTGGATATATAAAATAGTGATTGATATATAAAATAGCGAATGATAGAAATTATACAATCATTGATATTTTAATCATGTGTCACGACATTGATGGAAAATAACTGAAAAAGTAAGACTAATACATATTTTTACAATTAAGATATAATGATATTTCTCTGATGTATAAATAGAGCGGGTTAAACTGAATAGAAAAGTTCTTTACCATTTTGCGATTTTCACAATATAATTAATGAGAAATTAAAAAGGATCGATCAATTCGTATCAAAATATTAGCATGCGGCAAAAAAAGACAGCTCGTTATCACATAGTTGTTAAGATGTGAGAATTACGCACAATTTGTATATAATTATTGTTATTTGAAATATGCTCCTTCAAATATTTATTTATTATTATTTATTATTTATTTATTTATTATTTATTATTTAATTTATTATTTATTATTTATTTATTATTTAATTTATTTATTATTTATTTATTATTTTATTTATTATTTATTTTATTATATTTATTTTGTTATATATTTTATTTATTATTTATTTCTTTTTAATATTTTTTAAATATAATATAATATATTTTATTCATATTTCTTTTTGAAAATCGCAAAACGGTACAAAAAATTTTTCAATTTAATTTGTTTTCTTCTGCACGTAAGAGGTGATATGGTTATTATCGGAGACACCATGTATATACATATATATATTACGGAATGTTTAAAATAAGTTTTTTTTAAATAATATAAGTTGTTTTACATCTTATACGTTTTATATCTTTATATCTTATCTCTTTTTGTTAATCTCAATCACAGATGTATGTTAGATTTGATTATACATGTTTTATAATATGTGAAAATTCATAAATAATAATGTAAAATTTTGATACATTTATAAAAATTGATCGAGACAACTATCAGTAAACGCGTCGCTGCCTAATAAATATCATGCAGATATTTGTATAAATATCATGCAGATATTTGTATACTTTCCATGTTACCGTTACGATACACAACGGCGCATTGCACTTCCTGCTACTTCGGTAAGAATATAAATTGGTAAGTAAACAACCGCTAGATTCTCTTGTAGTCGAAGCTAGCGAGCGTTACGTCAGTATGTATGAAACAATTGAGAATACAATCTCATTCTCTGGAATTCTCATAGAATGCTTACGAAATTTTAACATCCAGCTTACATCTTCACGTAGATATTAGAGCATTCTTCACCTTTTTATTGCCCAAAATAAATTTTTTTTGCAAGGTATTCAAGATATTAAACAATAACATCACATATTCTTTATTAGAAAAGGCAATAATTTCTTTTTTTTAAATATTTGTTGCTTAAAAAATTCTTTAATTTTATCTCATGATATTATTTTTCTTTATAGTAAAAGACAAAGGATGTTAATTTATAATATTCCTAACAATATTTTAAATTTCATTGAATAATTGTATAAATAATAATAAAAAGATACAAAATTATAAACTGAAACCGCGATATAAGAGAAATCCAGAAATGATAATTTTCTACAATAAATTAAAATAATTTGCAACGAAAATAAAAGTACAGATTCACAATTTCAGATCTCAAGATGCATCATCAAGCGTACATATGTTATCAATGAAACATCAGAGAATTATCATCGATCGCATTACATCACGTGACATCGCTTTCTCTGATTCTCCCAACCTTGCGACTTCGTCTTTTATTTCTTTTTGCGTCTTTCCGGATGTGAATCAATCTACATTCGATGCTATGGGCGGACCGGTAAAGGTCACCAGCGACCGGTATGGGTTAACGAACGGGTAGGATAACAGGATGGACTTGAGAGAGCAAATTTTTGCGAAGGCCTGCCTGGAGGTCGAGGAAGTGCTGGAAGAGACTTTGAAATCCGATTCTCTGGCATGAGTGAGTCGTATCTCTTGCAATTCTAATAATACAATCGATATGTAAATTATAAAAGAGAGAGAGGGCATCCATTTTCATTATTAATATAATTTGTACGTGTTATAATAGATTTTTTATAAGAATCTTTTTTAACGTGTCATGAAATGTCATTTCTTCTTTATTTAAAAATAATAAATAAAATGCATTTTTGTTATAGGATGATACGACCGTTAAACGAGCGCTCTTCAGAATAAAGACGATATTTTATAGCTGTGCTTAAAGCTTGCATGTTGGATCTCAGATAGGCGATTTGTGCAAACTCAAGCTATCTTTATAAAATTCAGAAACTCTCTCAACATGAAAATAAATTCCTTTCTATATTATTATTAAATAATCAAAAACACTTGAGATCCGACTCTAAAAATATTTCACACATCATTACTGCGAAATAGCATACAAGACTTGCGTGATTCTCATGAGGACGTTGCTGACGAGAACCGCAGCTATTGTCATCGGGATTCATCGTCGGCTCTCTTCCCCCCTGTCCCCGATTATTTTCACGAGCGCCGAAACGCACGCAGCAGGTAAGATCCATCGATTGCAAGAGAAGGTGGAGGAGGAAGAGGAGAAGAGATCCATGGCATAGCGCCGTTGTGGAAGGGACGGTGGATCCTGGCGGCCTCGACGTGCCAGCTCCGCCTCGAGTGAAAGTGGGAGATTTTGCTTTCTATTCGTTTGCGCTCGCCAGTGACAAGCGCGCCGTGAACGCGGACGAACGCGCCGTTTTTCGCGGCGATATTTGTCGCACGCAGTTAACGGCACCAGCAGTTGACAGTTCGTGTCTGCTGAAGCTGCGATCCGCCAACGCGACGCCGCGTCGAATGGGGACCGGTCGGTCGATGGCGCGATGAGCTGAGGACTCCCCGGTTAAGGACCCCGGTTAAGGACCTCCGGTGCGTGCAATTTCATCGGGAACATCGGCGGTGATTTACAACCAGGAGAGATATGTCGAGGAGCCAAGGAGGAGGAGCGACTTCGCGCGGCCAGGTTTTTTTACTCCTACGCCTGCTGCTGGCCTGCGCTCTTATTGTCATTAGTCGCCAAGAGGGTAAGCTCGTTTAGATTGATACTTCTGTTTCCCTGAGGGAATTTAACGGTGCTTTAAGCACGACGATAGTGCTTAAAGCATCATTTTATTGCTTTGCGTTTTGTCAGAGCGCGCTGACATTAATGATATTCTCTTCTCGCGAGCCTCCCATGGATACGTTTCTCGGTGAACGTGAAGGATATTACTCGTGGAAGGTACGAGTGATGGGCCTGACGACGAATCGCGACAATCGGTGGAAGTTTCAAGACTTTGCATGGGAAATTTAAAGACTTTGCATGGGAAATTTAAAGACTCGCGGTAATCGTTGGATTCTGAAAATTTTTTTATAAACGTAACTCGAATATTTTTAAGAAAGTGCTTAAATTCTTTTTTTTTTATTTCTTTTGTGAATTTATTATTTATCGCAAATCTGTAATTTTTTTAATTTGCTAGTGAATGGCAGATTTTAAAATCCGAGAATACATGTGCATGTTTTTATTTTTCAATCTGTAAATATATAACATATAAATTAGGGTGATACAAAAATTCAAAAATTTATAGATTTAAAATGATATCAGGAATAAACGTGCAATTAAAAGTGGAACATATTAAAATTCACTTTACATGACAGATGCTACGTATTGCTCATACTTATGCAGGTCCTACTTTCTACCTCATTATACTTTAATGACGGATTCTTAAGATAGTTTGGCGTCGATTGATTTTTTAAATAAACGTATCAATAAAAAGACATTATTTATCGCATTTAATATTTCATAAAAGATTTATTTTTATAAAAGTTTCAAATAAAAATTCTGTTATAAAATAAAGACTACTTGAAATTGAGAAATATATTTTTAAAAATTAATATATATATATATATATATATATATATATATAATAAATATATATTATAAATATATTTTAAAAATATACGTTTATTTATTATTCATTTTAATATAAAGCTAATTTTCTCTCGCGTTCGCTTAATTTTCTTGTTTCCAACCGTTAAATTACTTAAAAATCTTCGAACACGCATTATCATTAGGACAAACTTGACTTCATATTAACTAGACACTGTCATTAGACGATAGAATTGAAAAGAAGAGTGATTATCTCAATTGCGAAATACGCGCTTTATTGGAGCAACCTTATTTGTTTCTTCGATCATTGTCTGCGCGGTAATGTAACCGTAACTACTAGCACTCGAAGATATTCTCATTTGCAACTGCGAATACATCAAACAAAACATAGTTCGCGTAAATAATGGTCGGTGGTCACGAACGGGCCCTCATGTTTGCCCGCGCTACGTGTAATTCTAAAAGTGGCAGCGCGATACGCAATACAATAGAATTGCGATACAGTTGCCAATAGCGGTGGTCCAGTCGCTCCTTATTGTCGGGCTTAATGGACACAGAGGCGAGTTGTCGTGTTGCTTGTGTATCACATCGAAGGAGCACTCTCTCGATTTGTAATACCGAGCAGCATATGCACAATACTTCGCAATCTTGCCTTTGTTCACCATTGTTATGCTGATCGTCGACGCATGCGAACATCGCGAATTCGCAAAGGTATGATTGTCAAAACAATTGTACCACGTTATGCATGGATATGCATCATTATAAACGCATTCTCAAATGAATGCGAAAATATGCGATGTTATTATTCTTTAAGGACTTGCGAATTCTTGCACAATTTGTAGGTTTTTACAGTCCTATAGATTATCTCGGAGCTACTGCATCATTTTACAACATTTTACAATTGATGCATACAAGCTGATCGTTCTTTTGCTCAAAAATTATCATATGTCATAATTTTTCTTCATTAAAGATTAGATATATCTCGATGTTTTCTGAATTCAAATTAATAATTTATTAAAATGAAACATTTATGTTTCAAGGAGACAATTTAGAAAGGTGAAAAAAAAGATTTATTTTATACAAGCATCGGGATGTAATATACATTAATGTTCCCTTAATGTTGATGCGTAGCTCTCAGTTGAAAAAATTGCTAGATATATAATTTATAACACATTTATAATACATTAAAAAGAATTAAAACGTATTAAATAATCTCTTAATATATTTTAATTGTTAATAAGTCTAATCATTCGCTGCCAATAAAAATATTTTATTAGTTTTTTATTAATTTTTTATCAATATTTTATTAATCTTTTTTAATTGATGTCTCTTTACGCTAAAAAGAAATGATATAAAAACATATATTTATACCCACATACCGAGTATCGCTATTTTATAGAATCGCTTTTTTATAGAACTGAATCAGTTTATCAATTTTATAGAATTGAATCAACATATTGAGGAATAATAGCTGCAATGAAATATCAGTCCATGAAAGTTTCTCGCAATCGCTAGTGACTTTAATGAAATCTCGCGCACGCGATGCGCGAGGCTTCTCGAAAAGGTCGAAACAACTCTTTTGCCCGTTCAAAGACTCGCACGAAAATTCCAATATCATAGAAAGTGAAACAGTCGTGTCTTCCTAATCCACTGTTATTCGAACCTGCGATCCCAAAAATAGTCCCTACGTCATATGAGTGAATGTTGTCCGGCGAAGTTCGGCCTCGTGTCTTTGTTTATCTCGAGTGCATTTCGAATAGCATTAAATGTTGCAGAAAAATTTGGATCTTGTTAAAAGCCCTGCCTTGGTAGCAACGAACGACCTTCCTTGCGTTTAGATCGTTTTAATGAGTCAACCCATAAAACGGCAGGTAAATACGTGAACCGGGAGAAATTTACGCGATTCGAGTTGGATAAATTATCGAAGGACATAAAAATGTCAAATGCACTTGGCATCCTGAGCGTTGATCTTCCTTTTTTACTTCATGTAATTGATATCACGATAATATTTCGTGAGCTATTTTTGGATATATGGAGAAGTAATTCTCGCATACCTTGAAATGTCAAATGCATACAATATGAAACATAAAATATACAGCCAATAAAATACTGAATAACCTGGGCAACAATTCGATTATTAAAAAATAAGGAGAAGTATTATCAAAAAAATAATAATACATTTTTTTAAGAGAGAAAGAGATTTTTTTAAATGGGAAATTGTAATTTATACACGAAAAGTACGAGAAAAGTAAATGCTAAATGTCATAATATATGAAACAGTTCGAGATATACGATTTGTATCAGATATTAATCTACAACCGATTTGTTTCGAAAGAAATATCAGATCCTCCGTGCTTTCCATTTCATGCATACGTTGTAACACGTAATAGCACCTTTTTTCTTTCATTTTGATCGTTCCCCGTACATGCGATACGGAACAGTGATCACGGAATTCGGAGCATTGACGTTGAGTTGAGAAATATTACATGCACTCAGAACGCAAATGACCTTCCCGACTTATTTCCCAGAGGAGTGACGCCTTTTCTCAATGCAATCTGATTCACGACGCCCATCTGCTCTTATGATCCTCCACGGATGGTAGTCATCAGAAACATCTCGCAACATCGCGAGCAAAATTGCGAGATTGGGAAAGTCTAACACATCATTCAGAAGCCAAGAATGTATTAGCTTGTGCTCTCTGAAGGAAACGCAGATTGCTAAACAATATACGTATGTTATGTAGTTAGAATCTTTTATACACACATTTGTATGGTGCAAAACCTAATTATTATTAAAAGGAATATTCATAAGAATCTGGAATTTATTTTTTTTATCTAGAATTAAAATTAATATATTTTTTATCTATTTTTTAAATTTGATGTTTTCTATTAATTAATTATATTTGATTATATTTATATTATATTATTTGATAATATTTAACGAGCTAAAATTAAGATAATAGAGATTTACTAACAAATAATCTATGACTATTTTTATATTCGATCTATGACTATTTTTATATTTTTATATCTCTTAAGTTTTTCTTTAGACTCAAACTTCTAACATAAGAAAATTGTTCGTAACAATAGTAACAATAATTTATTCAAAGTCACGTGTTATGAAAACATTAATTCTCTTTTGTCGAGTACAAATAGTGATAGTGATTGAATAATAATATTAATTATTTTTTATTTATACTCATTTAGTCGCATTATATAATTGTATGTTAACTTAATTTCTTTTTTCCCTAAAATTATATGTTTTCGCGGAAATGAAAGATTGCGGATTTTTTTGAGAAAGTGTAATAATACACGCATAGCGAATTTCTCCACGTAATAGTAACGATTCGACCTTTCTTCAAGAGTAGCGGTAGTCTTTGAAGAGATCTTCATTTTAGAGAAAGTTTATAAAATCACATAAATAACTAGAAATAAAATCTAGGAGAAATACGTGTATTTTATATCTACTTACTGTTCTTTTATACTACTCTCTATAACTAAGTATTTACTACCTGTCTATCCGTTACACTCTATTTCACTTACTCTCTCTCTCTCTCTCTCTTTCCTTTCGCTGCTATGCTTCTTTTCTTTCATATAGAAAATTTTCAAATTGCATCAACTTAATGAACGAGTATGGATGTAAATGTGTAATAAACTTTCTTATATGTGTGCATATATATGTATACAAATGTCATTCTCTTTTAATACTGTGTATTGCTTGTGCAATAATTACCGTATAAAATTTTGTAATTATTAATAGAGTAATTAATATCCCATTAATATTGGAATGATGCAAACGGTGCAATATTAATTAATGAAATATTTATTTTTTATTTGATTATATTTTGAATTTTATTGCATTCTTCTTTGCATTAATTTTTCTTGTACATACATAAGAAAAAATAATAAAACGCATATTCACCAAAATATTCACCAAAAAAATATTAAAAATATTTCTTTAAAGATTACATATTTTCCAGAATTTTAAAAAATATCTTTGTTTAAGAAGATTAATACTTCTTTCTCTTACATGTAGTAATATTTTATTCATTCATGTTATTCACATTAACAATAAGTGCTATACGCGACCTATAATCATCGCTAAAAAGATGTTTTTCATTCAAATAACGATACACTCCTAGCTGCGACCGAGTTAGAAAGT